CAGATGCACCCCTACGGTAAGGCCCCAGTGTTTGTCTCTTGCCTTCTCTCCGGCAAAGAGATGCTGGGTGGTGGCAGGGGGCTGTGTGGCGGGCAATGCGTTGGGGGATGCAGCGACAGTCCCTTCTTCCCTAAATCCTTCACTGCAAAAGCTGAGGCTACTAATGCCGGAGGAGAAAGCAGGCTCTGAAGCCCTTCTACTCCTTCCCTGCTTCCACAGGTGCCGAGCCCCTCTTCCATGACTTGGATAGCGATGATACCTCACTGAGCAACCTGGGTGACTGCTTCCTCGCCACGGCGGACGCAGGGCCACTCCAGGCACGAGTGGGGAACCCCATCGACCACCTGTACTCCATGCAGAACTCCTACTTCACCTCCTGAACGTGACGTGGTCCCCAGCACGGGGCAGCCGGTGCCGCCGCGCTGCCTCAGGAGGGGCTGCAGAGCCCCCGGGGTTGGGAGGGAGGGGGAAACGACACTGCTGGGATGCTGTCAAACAATATGTTGTAGCTTGGGATTCCCAAGGAGCGAGTTAAGTTATGGGTTGCATAGTTTCATGTTTCTCTTAGGAACCTAGGATTAGGGACAGGAGTGGTTTTTGCAGCTGGCTGGTGGGCTTTCAGATTTCAAACGGGGAACCAAATTTCTCGTTTCGGTAAGGGGAAAGGCAGGGGGAGGGGGAAACGCTTCCCGCGGGAGCATCCCGGTGCCATATCCCCTCTGCAACAGCTTCAGTCCGAGCGGTGGAAAGAGCAAACTGCTGATCTTCACAGGGGGAGCCCGCAGCGTCAGCTGGGCTTTGAAATTTGAAAAGCTGACAACACTTTGGGGAAACACGGGGAAAACTTTGCTGTGGGGTTTTCCCTCTGTTCCCTCGACCAGCTTGAGCGCTCGCTGTTTAAACACAGGGACTTTTAAGATAGATGTTCCCATGCAAATATAGAAAGCTAGAAACCCCTAACATCATCCCCGTCCCCGAGGATGGGACTCTGTGTGTGTATGTGTGTGTGTGTGTGGGCACACGCGTGTGTGTGTGTGCAGAGCTGTGTGGCTGTGGGTGACGTATTGCACGGCCACACCTGCCAGATTGTATCAACAAAGTTTATTTCTAAGTCTATCAGAAATTTACTGTACAGCAAAAGTAACTTTATTTTCAGCGTGAACCATATTTAAGGAAATACTCAATGCACTTAAGTTATAAAATGAAATAATTTACTTTTTATAAACGTTATGTTTAGGTTGCAAAAGCCCAGTGGCAGGGAAGGAACATCAGTTCATTTCAGGCAATAGGTTTGGGTTTCGGGGTTGGTTATTTTTGGTGCTCTCAGGTTGCCCCACTGGTTTTGAGGTGCAGTTGAAACTCAAAGCAGGGCTGGCTCTAGGGACCTGCTCCTCCGCCAGCAGATCGATGGGGACAGCACGGTGGCCAGGTCCTGTCCTCACCACTGCACGTGTCCAGGAGGTCGGTGCGGGGTGGACAACACTGCTGGAGCTGGTGGACATCCCGACCCATCGAGGCTCAGCTCTGCTTCTCACCTCTCTCCTTCCCACGGCGGGACCCAGCCTGCCTCTGGCAGCAACCCCATCCCGTACCCTCAAATATGGGTGCTAGACCTGTGCGAGCTGCTGTCCTGGCTCTGGAAAATACCGCAGCCCGTGTCGCCACCCCTTGGGCGAAGAAAAAAGGAGGGAGAGCCCTACATTTCCCACCCCACGTTCGGGTTCATCCCTGCAGGAGCTGTGGGAACCTGGGGAAAGTTCTCCTTGGGGTCAAGCCTTCAGCTGACCCTCACCTCATCCCCACTCTCGTTTTCATGCGTTGTGTCCTTTTGTGCTGCTGTTCACAAATGATGTAAGCGACAACCCGTAAAGACATGCAAGTGACTGTGAGGCTCAAAACACTGGCTCATCGCCACTGTACTATCTGACACTGAATGTAGCAGGGTCTGGAGATGGCTGACCCGGCGGGAGATGCTGACACACTGTCAGAAATCACGTACCAAGATAAAATTAAAAAGACAAAAAAAATCTCGGTTAAAAAAAAAAAAAAAGAAAAGCCTGGTGGTCTCTTCTTGTGTGGGGTGTCACGTTGATTCGGGAAAGGGAGGGGTTTGAATCATCTCCAAAGTTGGAAGGTGTTGGGTAGGGTATGGTGAGACCATGGGGGAAGCTTCTGCTCCTTGGGTTTTCAATATCAAATATTCTCTGGTCTAGGACTAAACTGGCCCTCAAGGGTCCTCTGTGGCCAATGGACAGAGATTGGTGGATCTGGAAGGTGACACATCTATCTCTGGCTCCCACCTGAGGTGGCAGTGAGGGGCTTGCTTGGGGCTCTCCACTGAGAGCAGGACAGTGAACAGCCAACTTTCAGACATCTGTAGGCAGCAGAGATGACTCCCAGCCAAAATGACAAAAGAAAAAGGGAGGCCAGACACCAGGCAACCTTCTTCAGAACAAGAAGGGATCTTGTAGAAAGGATGGGCAAAAAGAGAGAAAGAAAAGTGGTTTGCATGTTTGCCAGCTCTCTGCATGGGTTCTTGTGTGCTTGTGCCATCAGAAAACTCCACTTCATGTTTGCACCTGCCCACAGTGTTTCTGTGCTCTCAGCATTGAAGGAGAGCTGGAGAAGCCAGGACGGCCAGGTTACCAGCAAGACATTTTCCCGAACACATGAGCTCTTGGCTTAAAAAGCCCTGCAGGCCTCACTGGTACCTTCACATCCCTGGTTGTCAGCTCACCACTGAGCAGAGCATGGCTGGGAGGCATTCGTCCTCCTCCAGGGCAGGGGTACTGCAGGACTGGGAAAGCATTTCTGCAGGCCCGGTTACCCCGTAAGTGTTTTCATCTGTACTGTCACTTCACCAGGAACCCCAACTCTCCGCGGCAGGGCTGTGGGCAACCCCACGTTAGGACTGCCTAAAAGATATGGGTGGGTATTTCCCAATAGGAGCTGGTCTTATTGCAGCTTCCTGACATGAAGAGATTCCACAAATATGTGCTGATGCCACCAAATTGGGGATGGGGATCCACAACTCATTGTATGAGATGTTCAAAACAAAGTGTCCTTCCTGCCTTTCATCAGTCACCGCTTTGCTGTCCCTGTGCTATAAAATGCTTTCAAAGTCCAATCTGCAGGAAAAAAAATAATATTCCCGAATGGTGTGACTGCATGAAGAAAATTTGTGATTTCTATTTTGCAAGTTGTAGTTTCCTAGGAATAGCCTGGATTTCTTTGGTTGGGGTTTTGCTCTGTTTCAGGACAGAAGAGCATGGCACCTGACCCTGTGAACGGCAACTGCTGCAAAACCCCCAGCAGCCCCAGCCCAGCAGTGACCAGTTTGTTCCAGTCACCCAGTCATGTCTAGGGACTGGGTGCTGGGCAGCCCGCCTGACCCAAACTGCTCAGGACTGTGCCCTTGGTCATCCTGCAGCTGAATGTTTCCCATTTCTCCTCAAAATGAAGACTTATTTTTAATCACTCCACAGGCTCTATTTTCTCTCAACAATAACATTTTGATAACAAAACACCTCTGAGCCCTTATCTGGCCTCTGTTGCCCCAAACATGAGCTGAAAAAGCACAGAAAGAAGGCTGGAGAAATGTCTGACATGTAGGAGAAGGCTTTCCATGGAGAATTAAATAAGCTGTATTGACCTGCAAGGTCTTGTCTTTCAGTAGAAATATCTCATCTGTGCCTGCTTGCTCATTTGGGATGTAATTAGTGAGTCACCAGGTGAAGGTGTTGCAGGAGGGAGGGTAAAACCCTATAAAAGCAGGATTCACAGGTTGCCTGAGTTTGGGAGGAGGTGGGAAGATGTGCCCTAGGAAGCTGCCTGGCCTGATTTGAGATGATCTTGTGAAGGACAGCAGGGTAGGTGCTTGTGTGCAAGTTCTGCTGTGTTTCTAAAGCTCTTGCTCTTTCTGAGAGGGAATTACATGTTGGGAAATTTCTTTGTGGAGAGTGTGGTGTTTGTGTGTACTTTACTCTTGCAAAGCACAACCTGTTATAAGTGGTAGGGGGTTTTTTTATGTTGGCTAAGCATAATTTTTTAGCTGGGTGTCTCCAAACCTGACTTCTCAGAGGATGATGTAGAAAGGCAAAAATCCTGTCTTTTCACCTGGGATTTTAGCAGAGGAGAGTACAGGGAAAAAGGATTGGACCTGTCCTGGTCCAGGCTGGTGAAATTATAGCTTGAGATTTCTCTATCACTGGACTTGGTCTTGAAGAAATGCTGGCTGGTGCTAGTGGAGCAGAGAGGATCTGGGCTGGGGTGAGGCTGATGGTCACTGTGGGCTGAGGTAGAGATCTCCTTTGCTTGTGGAAGGGGGGGGCAGATCTGGTGGAGGTGGAGTATGTGTGGTGTGGAGGAGCTGCTGTGACCTGTGAAACCAGCATGAGTCTGACTTGCAGGATCCAGGTGTAGGTAATGGCTGGGTTAACACCACCCAGGCTTGCAATAGAGAAATGGATGTTTTCGATAATGGTTATTAAAACCACCTTAAAAATTCCCCTCACTTGGATATTTCTTTAAACATCATGTTTAAATTTTTTTTAAATCTTTTAAAGATAAAAGGTTTGTCTTCCCCACCCACAGCTATCTCCTATTTGAAAAATGTTCACCTACATCAGTCTGGCTTTCCATCAGCCTAACTATCAATTTACACTCACCAAATTACTTCCCTCAAAATAAAACCCCCACAAAATCCATGTCATGCAGACTGGTTGCCTGCTTCTTTTAAAATCTTGCAAAAATGTAATGACACACTGTAATCACAGTATCTCAAGGTATGTGTGTATATATGTATAAAAATATTACGTATAATATGTGATTTTGGGGAAGGATCAGTATGGTGGAAGGGCGTAGTTCTTTGTCTAGTAAATTCAGCAGAATTCATGGTCTTAAACCTGTCCTCCTTCTGCACGTTGGCCTGTGTGCTTGGCACAGCCTGAACACAAGTCCAGCTTGCAATTGTGCAATGCAGTAGCAGATGTGGGTCCTCCTGTCGTCTGGATTTCATATTCTGTTGTGCCTTATTTCCGGGTGTGGATGGATCCTGCCAAAGCAAAACTGCCTGGGCCTTATCTTCTGCTAGTGATGGAGTCACTGCATGGCAGATGACTTCTTGTCAGGCCAGGTGGGTTGTTGGATGTCCCTGGGGTGGGTTTGCTATTTTTATGACTGGCCTCCCTGGAGATGCACTTTCATGGTACTGCTTTGCCATATTGTGCTCCATGTCTGAGCCTGCTCTCAGCCTGGGGAGCAACTCCATAGGACAAATGATATCTTCTTGTCAAAGCCAGGAAGAAAAGAACAAGGTCTGACATGAAAACAGGCTCTACCTTGCTCTCCAAGGCAAGGGAAATGCCAGGAAAAGGTTGGG